TGAGAAAAAAAGAGAAAAAAAAGAAAAAAGTTCTCTACCCATTTGTTATGTGTTTGTATAAAGTACCCATTCTATTTTTTTGGAAGGTTCAGATTGAAAAGAAATTACACAAATTTAAAATTATCCAATATGTTAATTTAAAAAGAGCTATTTTGAAAAACGCCTCCATCAATTTAAAATATGTTTTACAAGTTTATTTTCAATTTTCACATTTTTTTCTTGACATGATCTTCACTTTGAATTTATAAATTATATTTATTTGATAGTTTGTACTTTTGAATTCTTTTCATTTCATAACCCTCGTAAAGGCTTTAAATAACTCCCAAAATTTGTATTGCAAAATATTTAAATATAAAAAATCCTCTAATTGAAATTTTGCTTTAGCCCTCATCGAAGGTTGGGCCGGCCCTGGGACTCAGTCGGGTTAGGAGGTTATCTAAGCCAAACTCAAGTTGTGTTGAGACTTGTCTAGGTTCACCCCAGTCTAAATTGTAACCCGAGATTGTATAGCGATCCCGGGTTTACCCTTGTTGAACAGTGATCCGGACATGTGTCCGTGGATGTTGGTAGTTGTTTATTTTCTAGTGTACATCCTCTTTACTTTATATACTGAGTTATAAGATGCGTTGGGCAGGTTTGTTTCAGGTTGGTTGTGTTTGGGAGCCTAGTGTTGCTGAAGATTTTGTGTTACTTGCTTGTGTAAATAATATATATTCAATATGATTTAATGATTTAAATTATTTTAATATCATGTAATGATTGACTAATAATTTATATATATACATTTAATATTTTTATATATCTATATATATAATTCAGTGTTGTTTGATATCTTTATCCAAACTCGTCCAAATTTAATTCGGATTTCTGAATTTTTGTTCAAACCTGTACCGAATTCAAAAATATCTTATCCAAGACCTAAAAAAATTCAGACTATCCATCCCTATCTTACGTTGAAAGATCAGATAATGACTATTCATGCCAGAACAAATGATTATCTTGATTCATTAAAAATTGGATAAATAAGAAATTTCTTATTGAGTTACCTACTTAAAAAATAATAAACCTCAGTTCTGCCAATTATAAACACTGTAAAAGACTTTGACAAATCAACAAAACATCATTGGCCATTCATAAGAAAAATTGATGAAATCCAATCGTTTAGCTCAAAATTCATCGAGATGGAGCCAATCAAAATAAATATTATATTTAAATATTTTATATTTTAATTCTTTAAGCGTAGAAGATGATCATAGAAGATAAATGATCAATACAATAAAATAGAAAAATTATATAAAAAAAAAAATCTAAAATTTGACTCTTATAATAAAATAAATCATGAATTTCTAATTTTATCAATTTAAATCCTAAAATTTTGATATTTGTCTATTTTTGTTAAGCAAAACGAAAAAAAATTAGTCATTAAATTCAATGCAGATGTACATAAAATGTTTAAAATATCTTTTTATTAAGTTTAGTGATCAAAATATCATTTTTTCTGTTAGTTTTACTTAACAAAACTAGTCAAATAATTTAATTAAAAATAAATCAAAAATTTAAGATTTCAATTGACGAAATTAAAAACTTAAATTTTATTTTATTATAAGGGATAATACCTGATTTTCTGTTGTAATTTCCCTTATATTTTTTGTGATAAAAACTAGGGATGGAAATTTTATATAACAACTTTCAAACTTTTTCTTGCATTAAATGCTTTAAAATATCGTGTAAATTCCTCCTTTCTACCAATTTGAAAAAATCGATAAAACTAAATTGTTTCTTACCCTTTGTGCCAATTCTTTAACCATCAAATCTAAAAAGTCAGATTTGGCGCTAACTTTCTCTCAATACTAATTGAATCAAACCGATCAAACCGTTTAAACCTGTATACTCCATGATTTAAAGTATTTCAGATCATGACTTTTCAAGTAAGAAAAATCTACCAACCAAATAAATTTATAGAAATTAAAAGATGAAATGGAAAGGACCGATGGTACTACTAGAGGTCGTTATTTATTTGCTTTTACTATTTTATTTATATTTTATGGTTGAAATGAAGAACTAACAACAATTATAGGACTAGGGCTACTAGACAAGTCGAATAATAAATTATTTAAATTTAATAAATTTTAAATTCAAATCAAAGATATGTCTCACTTATTTTATTTATTTATTTTTATTGGTATATCTCAGAATCCAACCTTTTGGACTGGAGATCTTCAATTTCATGTCTAGTACAGGGAAAATGAAGGGTTTGATGGGTTGATATGAGTATCGATATTTTATTTATTTATTTATTATTTATTATTTATCGTATATATATCATGTATCAAAAGTGTAAGCACACAGTGTATGTAAAATTTAAATTAATTATGGCAAATATTTAAAGCAGTTAAGATTGAGAGAGATGACAGTTATGTATAGGATTATTTTAAATGTACAAAAATCAGGACAAAACTTCTTTTCAATTGTGTTTTTATGTAGAAGTATATATGTGGCATATTAAATAAACAAATAATTGCACACTAGAAGACTGAAATGGTAATTTCAGAAGTTGGCATTAAGAGGGATGGGTGACTTGACATGTGTGTGCAGCTTGTTGGGGGCCATCAGTGAGAACAGCTTCATATAATGCACTTTTCAAGGGTTGTCTGTTTCAAGTAATATTTCCACAATGTAGGGCAATGACAAAGTTCAAAGTAGGGGTGGATAAGTATCCATTAGATTCTTCAAAATCGATTGGCTGGAATCAATCTATTACAAAATAGACAATTTTAATGATCTAAGGAGATAGATACGATTGTAATTTTTTCAATTTATTTAAATAGGGATCAAATCAGGATTTTATCATCAAAGGAATCAAAAGACGAATAGATTGTTTCACCATATATACAAACATACATTTATATATAATATGATATATAAATTATATATACATAAAAAAAATATTAAATACCATAGAAACAATCTCTAGTAGAAAGAAGAAGTTTTTTTTTTTTTTTTGGTACAAAATAGAAAGAGAACACAAAATGAGATAAAAATGATATATATATATATATGTATCTTTGGGAAAATTAGTGAAATATCATTCTCCAACTTTGTGTAGTAGGAGAGGTCAAAAATATATTTTTTTTATTAGATAAGGTCTCTCAACATTTTCACAGAGAAAATTTGACTTAGAGAAATTTTGCCCGACTCAAAGAAATTTCACCAAACTCAGAGAAATTTTGGCCCTAACTCAGAGAAATTTGGAAATTTCTCTGGTATGATCACAGAGAAAGAAATTTCACCCGACTTTTCTCCTAGTTCCATCGCCACATATAATTTTGGACGGATAGTGGATGAGAGGCCACTGAACCCAACCTAACCTGCTGATACTCTTAAGAAAATGAAGGTATGTTTTGTGTGTTAAAAAAAGACCTTTTATTTACTATTTATGAAATATAAAAGTTAAGTCTTTATTTTTATTATAAAAAATGGACAATAAAAAATTTTGGACATAAAATAGTAAAAAATTACCGAAAAATAGTTTAAAAAAAGTCCAAGACAGTAAAATTCAAACCGCTAAATCAATCCGTATTCACCTGTATGGTTCGCTTAATTTGCATCCGCTAACTATAAAGACCCGCACGGCCCTCTCAATCAACATTCACTAATAAAGAAGACAGATGCCAATTGATTTTTTCAATCTGCTTAAATTTAAACGAATGACAGTTGAAAGGCCATCCGACTCAACCCAATCTACGAGAACGATAGTTCAAAATATATCTTCTCATTATAATTGGATTCATTACATCCAAAATTTGAACAGAGAAGCGACAAGCTTTAAGAGAATAACATTTGGAAAAAAATAAAATCCTTTACCAAAAATTCATGTGTTTGGGTCCTACTGCTTCATAGTTGATGTCATTTTTTTTTATATTTTTGAAATTTTGGAACTACAAGTCCAAATTTTATTTATTTTTTCAATTTACCCTTGTGTGATCAAATCATGATGTTCGTGGCAACCTTAAAACCTAAAACCTGGAACCCTAGAGTTGTAGATTCGAAAAGAGATTGGATTTGGAATATTTAATTAGACGGTCCAAATCAGCCCATTATAGATCCTTTTTGATGATCCAAACAGTTTAACTTAAATTTAATTATTTTATATTGAGACATAAAATGAATTTCAACCATTTTTAAAAAAATTTCTGCAGTTTTTTTGGGGTAAATTTTATGGGTACCTAACAAGATTACAAAAAACTTTGATTGTTTTGCTCGTGTTGAAAATTTGATCTTTGGGATGCTGGGTATAATCGAAATATAAAGTCAAAAGTACCCCTCAATCAATTTTTAGACAATTAGTTATATTTAGCTTATTTAAATTATTTTTGTCTAATAAATTATAAATAAAAGTTGCACTATTTGCACAGATTCCCTAGATAAAATAAAAATAAAAATTATAAGCAGCTTTACCAAACAACCCGTTATGTGGTGGCCTAGTGTTGGAATGCTTGGAGTTGGAGCACGAGGGAGGACTGGGCATCAAATTTGTGCCATGCCTACCATCTGTTTTGTAAAATGTTTATATGTAGAGGTCAGTATGTTGATTGCTTTGGTGTAGCTTTTGGGATTTTTGCATGTGTTGTTGGGTGTTTTGTGGGGTCGCGGTGTGGTGCATATGATTGTTGTTATATTCTGCTTCATTTTCTTCTAATACAAGTTGTTTCTTTGCTGATCAAATAGAACAAAAAAAAAAAGAAAAAAGAAAGAAACACTGGTTTGTGTAATTTATAACTACTCCTATGTCATTTGTGCTTGTTATGAACATTAGACAGCATTAATCTCTACATGTGGAAATCCAGGTTGTTGATTTGATGCAATGACTAAGATGTGAATATAGTCCAAATTAGCATTAAATTACTTCAATTCCAAGTCTTTTTGATTGGCTTCCTAGTCCAAATGAAAGGTACTAGGTTAGTAACCGTAGAAAGTCCAACTGAAGTCTTACCGTGCTGTAAGATTTCCTGAGTTTTCATTTATAAAAACAGATGAATTTCATGAATTAGACATTAGACTATCAATGGAAGGCCTCAAAATACCTTTCTTGTTTTCCTCTTTATTTTCCATTTTAACAATCTCCAACGCAGCAGACACCATAACCAAAACCCAATCCATTACAGGCCGCAATACCATTGTTTCATCTGGTGGAAGCTTTGAGATGGGTTTTTTCAGCCCTGGCAATTCCCAGAATACATGCTTGGGAATATGGTACAAGAAAATTTCTGTTAGGACCGTTGTATGGGTTGCCAATAGAGAAATTCCACTTGTCAATTTCTCAGGCATCTTAACAGTACTTGACCCTGGAATTCTTTCCCTTGTCAATGGTACTAACAGTGTCATTTGGTCTCCCAATGTAACAGGATCCACACAGGACCCTGTTGCACAACTTATGGAGTCAGGAAATCTTGTTGTGAAAGATGCAAATGATAATATTTTGTGGGAAAACTTTGATTATCCATGTGATACTCCTTTACCAGGCATGAAGCTTGGCAAGAACATTGTAATGGGCCTTGAGTGTCACCTCTCTTCCTGGAAGAGCAGCGATGATCCAGCTCAACGTGAGTTTACATGCCGCTGTGATCCTTAAGGATACCCACAAAACATTTTGAGTAATGGTCGGTTGAGCTGTTCATGTTAGTGCATTATATTGTTAGCTTTGATTATCCATGTGATACTCCTTTACCAGGCATGAAGCTTGGCAAGAACTTTGTAATGGGCCTTGAGCGTCACCTCTCTTCCTGGAAGAGCAGCGATGATCCAGCTCAACGTGAGTTTACATGCCGCTGTGATCCTTAAGGATACCCACAAAAAATTCTGAGTAATGGTCGGTTGAGCTGTCCAGAACTGGGCCATGGAATGGTCTTGGATTCAGTGGGATTCCAAACCTTAATCCAAACTCCATCTACACATATGGACTGGTTTATACCAATGAGCAGGTGCATTATATTTATATTTATGAACTCATCAGTTCAGTTGTTTCAAGGTTTACTCTGAATCATGACGGTGTTATACAGCAATGGACATGGATTGATTGAATGTAGGAATGGGTCCTTTACCTAATTGCACCAACTGATAACTGCGATAATTATAAACTATATGGTCCAAATGGTAAATGTAATGTTGGAAACTCACCAGTGAGTGGCTGTTTGAATAAATTTGTGCCCAAGAACCAAACGGAATGAGGAAATGGAGATTGGTCTAATCGGTGTGTTCGGAGGACACCATTGGATTGCCATAACGGAGATGGGTTTCTCAAGTATTCGCAATATAAGATGCCAGACACACGGAACTCCTCGTTTGACCAGAGCATGAGCCTGTGGGAATGTGAGATAATGTGCTTGGAAAACTGCTCTTGTATGGCTTACGCAAGTTTAGATATAACAGTCGGTGGACGTGGTTGCTTGTTTTGGTTTGAGAAGTTGATTGATATGAAAGAGTACAGTGAAAATGGGCAAGATATTTACATAAGGATGGCTTCCTTTGAGTTGGCTAAGAATTCATACCAAACACAAATTAATTAGATAATTATATTATACATATGTAAGAATCATAGTTAAATATGTTGAACACTTACATTTCTTCCTCAAAAAATTCCTCTATGTTACATTTCTACTTCTAACTACAATTTAGCAAAGAGAAATGTCCATTTTGGTTTTTGTCTTGGACTTTGATTTCTGTTGTCAGTGTGTCTTGAATTCAATCCGAATGATGCTTGTTACCCATCCTCGACCTGCATGGATCGATCCTATAGGTCCAACTTCCTATTTGTATTTGTACCTATTTTGATGTGATTGGATGATTTCGAGGTTCTAGGATTATCTTGTGAACTTCTGTAAATAGGTTGTTGAGAGAGAGAGAGACTTTACATTGAATGTAAAACTCTTCCTTCATTTTTCGCCCGTAGACATAGGCTTATAGATGAACTACGTAAATCCTTGTGTGGTTATGTTTTTGTTCTGTTTCAACTATTCTCATCACCTTTCCCATAACAACTTCAACATATATGAAATGTTCAAAGGTTTGGAATCTAAAGTCTAGCTTCATGGGCAAAAAAAAAAAAAAATTCATTTAAGTTTGTTCTTTCATGGTTGTATTATCTGACTGACTTGATCATTTCTGTTAATGGATTGAGGATTCAACAGTCCAAACAAACAAAACCTTTCTACCATTTTTATTATTATTCTTTTTTTTATAACATCTCCACTCTGTGTTGAGCTGCTCTGCTCCACTTTTTCAATCCCTTTGTTTCAACCTCAAATAGGTTTTTATCTTCACACCTATTTGAGTTTGAGGGGGGGTTATACATATATCATGGTGAGTATGGTTACACACTATGCGAACCAACCAAGCCACCCCATGGCGCACTCCTTAAGTCGCCACCTTGGTGCACCACCAAATTCTTTTACATCGGTCCGGCATGACCCCGTAAACTGTCCCGACCTTGATTCCGGTCAGCTTTTACATGGTCCGGCATGACCCCGTAAACTGTCCCGACATTGATTCCGGTTAGCCTCTACAACGGTTCGACATGACCCCGTAAACTGTCCCGACATTTATTCCGGTTAGCTTCTACAACAACGGTCTGACACGACCACACAATGTCTGCTACATCGGTCCGGCATGACCTCGTAAACTGTCCTGCTACATCGGTCCGGTGTGACCTCGTAAACTGTCCAGACATTATCTTCTCCAACGGTGCGACACGACCATACAGTGTCTCATTCAACGGTCTGACACGACCATACAGTGTCTCCTATCCTATTTTATTTGTCAGTTTTTTTTTCTATTTTGTTACTCTCTTCAAACTCAAGTTGGTTTGTGCCTGTCCTCCTTGAGTTTGAGGGGGGCTGTTAGTGCATTATATTGTTAGTGTATTCTATGTTGTTATTAGCTGTAAAGTGTGTCCTAGCTGATCATGATGTCTTTGCTTTCGGTTGCTTTTGGGTGCATTGTTTGTAAACTTCTCCTTTATAAGGAGCTCCTGAACCATTGTACAAAATACATTCAATACATAAATCAATATACATAATTCATTCTCTCTGTATCTCTCTCTATCAATTTATCTTACAGTTCAGAACTGGGCCATGGAATGGTCTCGGATTCAGTGGGATTCCAAACCTTAATCCAAACTCCATCTACACATATGGACTGGTTTATACCAATGAGCAGGTGTATTATATTTATATTAATGAACTCATCAGTTCAGTTGTTTCAAGGTTTACTCTGAATCATGACGGTGTTATACAGCAATGGACATGGATTGATTGAATGTAGGAATGGGTCCTTTACCTGATTGCACCAACTGATAACTGCGATAATTATAAACTATGTGGTCCAAATGGTAAATGTAATGTTGGAAACTCACCAGTGTGTGGCTGTTTGAATAAATTTGTGCCCAAGAACCAAACGAAATGAGGAAATGGAGATTGGTCTAATCGGTGTATTCGGAGGACACCATTGGATTGCCATAACGGAGATGGGTTTCTCAAGTATTCGCAATATAAGATGCCAGACACACGGAACTCCTCGTTTGACCAGAGCATGAGCCTGTGGGAATGTGAGATAATGTGCTTGGAAAACTGCTCTTGTATGGCTTACGCAAGTTTAGATAACAGTCGGTGGACGTGGTTGCTTGTTTTGGTTTGAGAAGTTGATTGATATGAAAGAGTACAGTGAAAATGGGCAAGATATTTACATAAGGATGGCTTCCTTTGAGTTGGCTAAGAATTCATACCAAACACAAATTAATTAGATAATTATATTATACATATGTAAGAATCATAGTTAAATATGTTGAACACTTACATTTCTTCCTCAAAAAATTCCTCTATGTTACATTTCTACTTCTAACTACAATTTAGCAAAGAGAAGTGTCCATTTTGGTTTTTGTCTTAGACTTTGATTTCTGTTGTCGGTGTGTCTTGAATTCAATCCGAATGATGCTTGTTACCCATCCTCGACCTGCATGGATCGATCCTATAGGTCCAACTTCCTATTTGTGTTTGTGCCTATTTTGATGTGATTGGATGATTTCAAGGTTCTAGGATTATCTTGTGAACTTCTGTAAATAGGTTGTTGAGAGAGAGAGAGAGACTTTACATTGAATGTAAAACTCTTCCTTCATTTTTGCCCCGTAGACATAGGCTTATAGGCGAACTACGTAAATCCTTGTGTGGTTATGTTTTTGTTCTGTTTCAACTATTCTCATCACCTTTCCCATAACAACTTCAACATATATGAAATGTTCAAAGGTTTGGAATCTAAAGTCTAACTTCATGGGCAAAAAAAAAAAAAAAAATTCATTTAAGTTTGTTCTTTCATTGTTGTATTATCTGACTGACTTGACCATTTCTGTTAATGGATTGAGGATTCAACAGTCCAACAAGCTAGCATCAAAGGCAAGAAAAGGGAGATAGTGGCAGTGACATTGGCATTGTTAATTGGGCTCCTTCTGATAGGCATGAGCGTAAGCTTGTATCTCCAAAAAAAAGAAGAGGAAGAATTCACAGCTGAACAAAAAAGGTATATATGCGATGTGTCATTTTGTGGTAAAGTCTGTAATGGTATGTTGCTAGTTGGAACTAGTTTTCTCGTTGTGTTTACATCCATTTCATCCCCGCTTTGCAGGAAATTTGATGAACAACTTTGAAAAAGGTAGCACTGACAAAAGCCAGACAGAAGATTTAGAGTTACCATTGTTTGACTTAGCTGTAATAGCTAATTCCACTAGTAACTTTTCAATCAACAATAAGCTTGGAGAGGGTGGATTCGGACGTGTTTACAAGGTAACCATGTAAAGACACTCTTATGTAGTCATGAAGCCTATGTAGAAGCCATAAAACCATTCAAATTTTTTATCACTGGTTTTCTGTAAGGCTACAAACACTTTCTTTTCACGAAAAAGTGCATAGAATGTTGTGCTGCAGCAGGCTATATCACTGCATTCATTTCTGTGTGTGGGCCAACAAATTTTCTGTTCCTATACTTACTGTTCGATAAAACCTTTCAATACAGAACTCACCATTCTGAATGTAAAATTTTGATAAATAAAACTGCTTTAGAATTTTATATTTGAGTTTGCTTTAATGAAAAATGATTGAGACTAAGCTTAGTAGTGATGGGAATGAAAGGTAATCTTATAGAGAAGCTCTAACTCTGCAAATCCTCTCCATCTGTCCACTCTCCACACTCACCCAAACATAGTAAAACATTCACTATCCTTTCCTTATTACACGACTAAGTTGTTATTGGTGGTTGCAATATTTTTTTCTTTCAGTTTTTAGAAAAGACAATTGCCTTGATGCATATTTTCTCACATATGAAACTTCATAAATCTGTGTAATTATGTCTTTTGAGTATGTATTTGGTATTGTTGTAAAATAAATCATTGGTCATAATTGCACATGTTGGAAGTTGGGACAATGTCAGCCAAAGCAACATATTAAAAAAAGGTAGGTTAAAGTCATAATAATTAGTAAAGAAAAATGCTTTCTTTTAAGTTTTAAAAGAACATTCTAACAATTACAATGGTAATTCTCAGGGTATGCTAGAAGGAGAACAAGAAATAACTGTGAAGCGGCTATCAAAGAATTCTAGCCAAGGGCTTGACGAGTTCAAGAATGAAGTTATTTGTATTGCCAAACTTCAGCACCGAAATCTCGTGAAGCTTATAGGATGTTGCATTCAAGGAGAAGAAAAGATGTTGATCTATGAATACATGCCCAACAAAAGTATGGACTACTTTATTTTTGGTTTGGCTCTCTTAAAACTATAATACCATACCACAACTATTTTTGGTTTGGCTCTCTTTTGATTTATTTGATTATGGGAACAAAATTATATGCAGTTTGTATTACATGTGCATTTGCATGAACTATTGGGTCTTCCAAAATTTGGGATTTTCCATCAAGGAATCCTGTTAAATTCATGCATCCCATTAGCAAGAGCATGGACTAAGGGGTTGTTTGGGAAGTGCTAGATTAGTATACTTTTTGACTTTTTACGAAAAAATGTAAAATATGAGTTAGGTTTGAAGTGATGTGGTAAAGAAGTGATATGACTTAAATAAGATGATTGTGACCTAAATAGGATAATGTGTTAAAATAGCATGTGCTATTTTAGCACATGCCAAACAACTACTAAATCAGACAAAATTTTGACAGATCAAACCCGAAGCACATTACTGGATTGGCCAAAGCGCTTCCACATTATGAATGGGATTTCTCGGGGTCTTCTTTATCTTCATCAAGATTCCAGGCAGAGAATTATTCACAGAGATCTTAAAGCAAGCAATATTTTGCTGGATATTGACATGAACCCAAAGATATCAGAGTTTGGAATGGCTCGAAGTTTTCGGGGAAATGAGACTGAAGCAAATACAAACAAAGTGGTTAGAACATAGTAAGAATCTATACAACATGTTTTGTTTATTGCTTCAAAATCTAGTTCTTCATTTAACTCTTTTCTGCAGTGGCTACATGTCTCCAGAGTATGCAGTGGATGTGTTGTTTTCAGTAAAATTAGATGTATTCAGCTTTGGCGTTTTGGTGTTAGAGATCATGAGTAGGAAGAAAAACAGAGGTTTCTATCATCCAGATCACCACCTCAACCTCCTTGGCCATGTAAGCATACTTAGTTTAGAAGTATTCTTATATTCTGTCTTAAATCTCGCTTTCTTCCCTGTTCCAAAACATTCACAACTGTGCAATTGTGTGAGCATCTGTTCAGGCATGGAGACTCTACAAAGAAGGTAGGTCATTGGAATTGATTGATGAGGCTCTGTGGGACTCATGCTACCTAACTGAAGTGTTGCAATCAATCCACGAGGGTCTTTTATGTGTGCAACAATCTCCACAGGATAGGCCAAGCATGTTATCTGTGGTTCTGATGCTAGGTGGTAAACGTACATTGCCTCACGCCAAACAACCTGGCTTCTTCACCAAAAGGAATGTTCTTGAGGCTGCTAGTTCGTCAAGCAAGGAAGCAACAGGTCCAGTCGACAAAATCACCATTACTCTGTTGAATGCTCGATAGAAACATACACTGTATTCATGCAAATTATATGCCCCAAAACCTGTTTAAAAAAAATGAAAATCTTCACTATTGTAAAAGACTACGGCATTTCTTTTCGTCTACTGGGTTAAGTTTTATAAACCAGTTCCTCTTTTTGGAGTTGAGGTTCTTTTAGTTAAATTTGATACCATGTACAATTTGAAAGTTTAGTAAATGTTTCTTGTTATAACATGTTCATATGCACAGAATTAAATTAGAGAAGTATGAAGAATATGCATATATATTGACATGATATGACCTAACTATAATATCTCCATTCTGTAGTATTTTCATTGTATTCACTATTGGTGTGTTTGATTGGACGGATTAGATAAGGAGGGATTAGAATCCATCAGACTTGAATTTTGAGACTGTGAATCTCCCAGATTATTTAATTGGATTGAATGTGTATCCCGTGTTTGTTTTCTCGTGAGATTAGATGTCTAGAAATGACTATTTTTAGTGAATCTGATGTTTGGTTGGACGGACTGGATAATAATTAATGTTCAAAAGACTATTTTACCCTTGTAACTTATAATTTATATTTTTTATTTAATATATAATTTTAAATTTGTAATCTATAATTTATAATTTATAATTTAACAACACTAAATTTTTTTAATTTATAAGGCACTAATTTATAAATTATTATTTTTAATTAAATTTAATTTATAATTTATGATATATATTTTTATTTAATATATAATTTTAAATTAACAAGACTAAAAAAACTAATTTTATTTAATATATAAATTTAATTTTTTTAACAACACTAAAAAAATTTAATTTATAAGGCCATAATTTTTTCTTTTTTGTTTTTAATTAAATTAAATTTATAATTTATAATTTATAATTTTTATTTTTATTTTTATTTAATATATCATTTTAAATTAACAACACTCAAAAAATAATTTATAAATGTTCAAAAGATTATTTTACCATTTTCCAGTTGTTTACTAAGTAATAGCATGAGGGCAAAGTAGACATTTCACACATTAGTCCCATGGGATACCATTCCCATGGAAATAATCGCACCTCCTCCTAGGATTGTTTAGTCCCACATATGAGGGATAAGGAGTCCAGTCGGACTCCATGTCCGGTGAATTAAAAAAAAAATACCTCGGATATAAGGCTTCCAATGGATTACAATCCGAACAGTAAATAGTTCTCCCCTAATCCCCCAATCAAACGCATCCTATTTGTTTTAGCAGAAAATATTTTCTTATATTTGGATGTAACTTGAAACTAATATATGGGAGTGTGGTGGCGTTGGCAACATTTAATCTAAAAAACATTTTTCATGTTTCAAAAATAGAAAATATTTTCTATCAAAGTAAGTTTATTTTTTTGTTGATTATAAAAAATATTTTTTCTTGACTTTCATTAAAATATTTCCAGTTGAAACAAAGAGAGATGCACTCCATTGTTATAACATACTCTTTTTTGTATAGAACACTCACAAAGGTTGGTTCTTGCCATGAGATCTTAGAATACTCACAAGGTTGGTAGAGTTTTCAAATAAACAAGTGGAATTTGTAAATCGATTCAGACCAATTCAACTGAACGATTTGGTTCCTTTTAGAGGACGTTTAGGTTCTAGTTCTAAATAATTAAGTCATTAATTATATTGTTTGATTCATGTACTAAGACTCAAAAGAATCAAATAGAAAAAAAATGAACCATTCAATATTTATAAGATTTTTACACTTGTTATATTATTGAAAATTGCATATATGATGGTATATAATACGAAGAATTTGATGTGCCCGTACATATTCTATAAAAGTTAAGTTGCAGAATATTATAATTTTTTTTGAGTATGATTGTCTATTTTTTAGAGTACTTTTATAGGTAGAATCCTTTTTTATTTTATTTTTATGTTGAATTGAATTTTTTAAGCCTAAAACTAGAAGTGTAAAAATGGCCTGTGACCCGTGGGCGACCTGGGGTGAACTCGGCCCATTTAGGCCCAGATTCAAGCCCAACCCGAGGCATTGGGCTTGGGATTGGGCCATCGTTTTGAAGTCGGCCCAGCCTACCTAGGCCTGCCTGTGGCCTAGTCCATCGGCCCACTCAAGGCCTACTCAAAGCCCGGCCTAAGGCCTGGCCTGCCCGAGACCCAGTGTTATTTTTAGTGAAAAATAATAAAATTTTGATGGAAAAAATAAAAAAATTTATTTAGGCTCGGCCAAAGCTCGAGACCAGGCCCGCCCGAGGCCCGAATATCTCTGGGCCTAGGCCTAATTTTCTGCCCCGTGGGCCGGCCCAGTTCGGTATGATTTTTGGTGGGAGCCCACAAATCCTGACATGGGTCGGGCTGGGCCGGGCCAAAATTACACCCCTACCTAAAACTAACCAAATCATTTTTTTGCGGAAGTTTGATTAATTTGCATTGAATGATCATCATTGTACAACGTCCAACATAATTCCTTATTGAATAAGAAAATGATACAAGTTCATTTTTTAGATTCATTTTTTAGATTTAATAATATATAAGTGATATGATTGGTTAATGATTGAGAAGATAAGAGAGAGACAGTGTTACCTTAGATATCCTAATTAATTGACATATCATTGAGCTTGAAAATTAGGTCTAATTTTTGGAATTATATAGCAATGCTCAACAAAATATTATTATATTAAAATTTGAATTTGTGTCAAAGATATGAGTTATAGATAATAAAATACTTTTATGTCTCTCGACTGTTAATGTGTCATTTTCTGTCTAATTTTTTACATAAGTTAATCTTAGGGACAAATTAAGAAAAACGTAAAATATGAAGGGCCAAAGTGGGATTGGGGGGAGGGGGGGGAGGAATACGTTAAGGGCCAAAATGAAAAAATGGTCAAACATAAAAGAAACAAGGCTTATTTTGGGAGGTAAGTTAAAAGCCAACTTTTTGACTTGTTTAAAAAAAATATGCAAAAAAGTAAAGAGGTGATGTGATCCAAAATAATCAACAAGCTAGCTTTTAACCTGGGTGTCCATCCCCTTCAATAATCTCCGATATGTTCTGCAGAGACTATTAATCTATTAGTTTACATTTCTATTTAAACATGACATTTAAAATTAACCAGAATACATAATTCAATATTTTGATCTAATCCTCCGAGACAAACACAATATTCCACATTAAAATAGTCTAAAGTTAAACACAACTTTTGCAACTACTCATTAGACTTTTTTTTTTTTTTTTTAAATGTGAAACATTTTTAAGTTAAAATTTTCTAGCCAAATTTCGGTAAAATAAAATCACTCGCTTAACCATTGGGTTTCCCTTGTTAATAAATTTAGTTATTAAAATTGTATGAATTAAATTTATTATTAAAAATACGACATATATTATAGTAAAATTAAATTTATAATATATGCTTTATTTCAAAGTACATTTATGATTTTTTTTTGCTTGTTTTAAGGTTTGAATTTACAATAAAATCATATTTCAGCCAACTAATAAGTGAGGCATATCTTTTTTCAAATCAACATGTTTTAAGATTTATTAGAATTTTAAATTAAATTTAAACAATTTATTATTCGACTTGTTTAATAATCCCAATTCTATATTTGTCGTTAGTATTCATTTCAAAAATAAAATATATATAGAAATAGTACAAAAATTGAAGTCCTCTAAATGATACTATTGACCCTTTCTTTTTCATCTTTAAATTTCCTTAAATTTGTTCCTTAGGTTGATTTTTCCAATTGATGACCCAAGACTTCGAATCTTATAAACTATGGAGTACTAATGTTGAATAGTCTACTATTGTACAATAATTAATTGGCATCATAAGCACACCATTAACACTCCATTTATTTTGACGATTCTTAAATTTTGACAATTGAAATTTGTACAAGAGGTTAATCAATAGTGACAAGTCAAAAAAGCTATCATGCAAATACATAGGCCATATTAATAATCGGTACAATGTAATTATGATAAGTATAAAATAAAATATAAATATAAATAGAATATAAATATTTACTATGTTCCTCTCAAAACAAGATTATAAGATACAATATAAGACAGAAAAATGCAACACTTGAAGTATAAATTGAAGTAATGTGGGAGAACTATGAAATACCAGAAATATGATTAGCTGTTACCATCTCGTCTTTGCACGGATCGATACTGCCCAACAACTCACTCTTATATGATATAGTATTTAGGGCAACACTTCTAGATTAGTGTTAGATAACATTGTTAATTTTTTAATTTTTGTAACCCACTGATGTCTTGTTAAATTCACCGATGTCCACGTGTCCAATTAAACTGTCCATATAAGCTGATCCAAATATAAAAGGCCATAAACAACAATATTCAATAGAACACTGCTATACAAAGTTAGATCTAATTATCAAGTCTAATGATATGTTATTAATCAATTAAAATATTTTAAGTAACATTCTTTCTCTTATCTTTTCAATCGTCAACTTACACATTTTTTATGTCATGTGACAACTAACATTGTATTTTCTATCTAATTTTGAACATAATTAAGTCCTAAAAGAGTTTACTAATCAAACTTTAACTTTAATATATTTGTGCAGAATTATTGTGCTTTTATTGATCAAATTTTAACTTTAACTAATCAGACTTTAACTCAATTTACTCCTAAGACTAACTTTAACTTTAATTAATCAAACTTTAACTTGAACAGAATTATTGTTATTATTATTATTTTTATATGTTTTGAATATTTTAATTTCTTCATTTCAAACATGCTTTCTGCTTTTGTTTTTTTATTTTTAAAAATACTTCTTGTTTCACGTTTACAAAAAAAAAAAAAAAAACTAACAATGTTATTAAATACTAATCTAAATGTGTTTCCATAAAAGCTATATTACATAAGAATGATCTTTTGGGTAGTGTGGATCCTGTTAAACACTAAACACTAACTACTAAGGATATTTTTGATATTTCACGGTTCTGTTATGTTACTCCAATGTTATGTATTTATAGGTGAATTGTCGCATTTTTCAATCTGATACTGTAGTTCTTTCAAATCATAGTGAAATCGCAGCGATGATGGACATAACTTTATTTTGGGATAAACAACATAAATCCTTGTAATTTTTGCGTTTGATTTATATAATTAATCATTTTATTTATGTTTGTATGTTG